CCATTCTTTCCCTTCAGTTCTCTTTAAATCTTTTTCTTCTGTCTTTCCAATCTATAGTTTATCTTGCTCCTATTTTCATTATTCTAAACATATATGGTTCAACACATGTCTGTACTTAAAAATTCCCTTGATAGCTCTTCAGTAATGCAGAATATCCTAAAGACTTTCTCTCAGGAGCTCCATTTTTATTCAGTTATTTCCCCCATCTTGCATGACTGTATCTGTTAATCTGAGCAACAGATTTAATGATAAAAATAGATAATATAATAACTATGGTTAATTAGGTATTCCTGTTTTGAAAATCTGTAACATATGTATTGTTGTATGTTACCCTTTTCCGTCTTTTTTTCTATTTGTTTTTGCTTCTGTTTTTATTCTTCAAAATAAATAAAATAAATATTTTTACCATGGTGCCTCAGGTTAAGGTCAAGGATTACATCTGAGCTGTGTTTGGTTCCCATCACTAGGATGGTGTCTAACACATGACATATGTCCAATAAATACACTAAAATAAATCAATACTGACTTTGAATGTTGAACACACAAAACCCTGTGGGGGTGCAAATATGAATAAAATTTACATTTTCATTTTTAATGAGCTGACCACCTAACAAGCAGACAAAATCTGCATGTCAGAAAAGTATAAATATACAAAATACTGTGCAATTACATTCACTGAAAAAAAATGTCTATAGGCTTAAGCTTGATATTGATCTGGAAAGCTCTGTGTTTAGAAGACCTGAATAGTGACCTAAAGAAAGCAGACTCAGTTATGCAGTGTTTTAAGTATGTGAAGTAGGACAGAAGTGTTCACTATTATTATATTGTCCTTATGAAGGATGCAATGAAAATGTTGACTGAGTGCCAGCCAGATAGCTTGGTGAACTAAAGCACCTTAGGCAAATGCAGGGACCAAGCTTCAGTCCCCATGAGGTGCCAGCCCTGCCCCCAGGGCACTCTGAGATGGTGATTGAGAGTGGGTGTGGTGGCGCACCAGTAATCCCTGTGCTTGGGAGGCTGAAAGCAGCAGAATCTGTGTAGTGAGACCCTGTAAACCCTGTACTAAATACATTTTTTTTAAAAAAGAAAGACAATACTGACTGAAGTACACATTTCACAGATGAAGAGATATCGAAAAGGTAAATGTGTGTGCATATATATGGGGAGGAAGGTGTAGGCTAAAAATTTGAGCACAGAATAGATTTTAGGTATGTCTGTGTTCTTTTCATCCTCTTTTCTAGAGCGTGGAACACCTCAGCATTCTAGATTGTCTGTTCATCACAAATTCCTTATGACTACTGCAGAACCCAGAAGACAGTAATTAAGATATTTTCAAAGTAGAAAGTTTCCATATCAAGAAATTTCACTTCTTTTCCCGAGATTTCCTGATGTCTTTAAAGGTGTTGTACACTAGATTCTTTCCCTTTTTATTGCTTGCTTTCTTTTCTTTCTTTCTTGTTCTTTATTTTTCCTCCTCTTCTCCTTCATTCTTCATGGCTTCCTCTTCCTTTTTCCTCTCCTCTTCATTCTTCTTTCCTTGCTTCTCTTTCTCCTTTTTAAAATTTTATTTTAAAGAAAATTTTAAAAAGATACAGAATTTAGAAACAAGATGAGAGGAAATTAACAATGGTTGTCAGACTGCATATTGTTATGTTCAAAGTAGTTGTTCAGATTACCATTCTTTCTCCTCCTCTTCTTCCACCCTCCTTCTTCCTCCTCTTTTCTTTTTGTCCTTGCTCCCCTTTCTCCTCTCTTTCTCTTTCCCTTCCCTTTTCCCTTTCTTCTCTTCATTCTCTTTCTTCTCCTTCCCTGTTTTCTTCCAAATGGGGTCTTACCATGTTGCCCAGGTTGGCCCTGAGCTCCTGGGTTCAAGTGATCCTCCTGTCTTCTCTTCTCAAGTAGCTAAGGGTATAGCTACTCTCAGCTACATCTTTCAATTTTTATTTTAAATGCACTTTTTGTGTTTGAGTGATTTTTCTCACAGCCTGTGCTGCACACAAGCAACACAAGCCTTGTAACTTCCAATTTGATAGCTGCTACTTTCTTTTACCTCAGTATATACTTGAACTAGACTTACAATTCCAGAAGAGCTAAAGGTGAGAAGAAGATGAAAAACATATTAGTCTATTTTCCTGGAAGGTAAATTTCAGCGTTTGGTTCAATCTGATCATAAATTATGTACAATTTCTTTAGGGTTTCAGGGTCTGGACAATAAAACTAGACCCAAATCCTTAATAAATTATCTACCAACACAAGCATTGTCTTTTGAGGTCTTCACAAGGACTTGGGCTAATAGATCTAATCAAAGTTTAACTTATCGGGGCTGGTGAGATGGCTCAGTGGTCTAAAGCGCCTACTTAGAACAAGCTTAGCAAAGCACAGGGACC